GACGTGACATGTTCGTACGAACCCTTTGTACGAACAAAAGTAAGAGAAATTTAGGATAAGAATACGAACATGTTCTTGCATGAGGCCCAATGCTCACAAGTTCAATCCAAAACCAAACAATCAGAAGCAAATTAAGTCGCAGTCAATCCAGTTTCATCTTAGTTATAAAAGAAAAACACAACTACACCCAAGGGGTACATACAATACATGATGTATCACATTTTAATCCTGAAACGGCATCTATTCACATTAGCTTTACCAATCGCGTGGCATTGTGCTCATCTGTGAATCTGTAAGAATATCTACATTCATAGACCATGGGGGTCTAATTATGTTTTTGTTTGTTTAAAAAAAGCATGGTTAGGATAACTCAGTTCTAATTATTAACTCCCACTTGGACTATGCTGCAGACGTGTTTTACAAAGCCTTACTTTGTAAAATTGTATTTCTCAAGATGAGCTGGGTATTATATAGTAATCAATATAATTTTTTCATATTGGTTACTTGATAATATACCCGATATTAATTTGTTTAATACTATTATGAGACGTGTTGTATTACTTAAATACTCTGAGTTTCCAACATTTGCTACAAACAGCAGATATACTGTAAGTAGGAATGTTTTTCCTTCAGAAGGAAACACTTGATGTTTTTTTCATTGTCAATAAGAAAATTTACCATATGTTTTCTTTTCAAACCTACACACTCACACCCACATCTAGTGTGTATCACCCTGTGTCCTTCATTAATTCCATGCAAATAAGACACGGAAAGCCAAAGATGATTGAATGATTTAAAAAAATGGTTTGAATATGGTAATTAGAAGAGAATTTTAAATCCTAACAACCAAGCTTGCAGTGACAAAGTATCAGAGGACACACTAAACGGACATAAAGGTAACTAAATCTCTAACAAACTGAAGATGTTTTACTTTACAATGATAAATAATATAATTTAGTAGTAATGAATAAAGAGCACACTGATCTAAACGCTATTCCTATTTTCTTTACGTTACAGAAATCTTCAACATGGAGTCCACTGTCAACAGCAGCAATGCTGTACACACCTTTCATCCCTGCTATGACTTTGATAACGGGATTTATATATTTACAACTAACCCTTCTATTATTTGTGTAATTTTATATATTTTTCTTGGCTCATTGTCTGCTCTCACTGTGAGTGGAAACCTGCTTGTAATATTCTCTATCATTTATTTCAAACAGCTTCAAACTCCGACCAACTACCTCATCCTGTCTTTGGCTGTCACTGACCTGCTAGTTGGAGTTTTAGTGTTTCCTTTCAGTATGATGTTCTCTGTCAGCGTGTGTCTGCACCATGAGAATTTATTTTGCAAAATACGGGATAGTTTTGACGTTACATTGTGCACATCCTCAATTCTGAACTTGTGCTGCATTTCCATAGACAGATATTACGCTGTGTGTGAACCTCTGACTTACAAGACAAAAATAAATACTCAGGTGACTGTGGTTATGATTCTAGTGAGCTGGGTGATCTCGGCTCTAATTGGAATTGGCATTACTGTTGCAGGATTCAGCCAAGGTACTTGTGAAGGAACGTGCTCATCTGAAATTATAGTGGCCAACACAATGGGGCCTGTTTTCTCTTTTTATCTCCCTGCAGTCCTAATGCTCTGTATTTACTTAAAGATTTTCATTGTTGCACAGAAACAAGTGCACAGCATCCAGAACACAAATGGTCTCGGTACAAAGTTTGGAGCCGCTGTTAGCAGGATGGAGAGAAAGGCCACCAAAACTCTGGCTATTGTTATGGGGATTTTTCTTATATGTCTCACCCCATACTTTTTTTGTGTTGTCTTCCAGCCTTTATTTTATAGTCCGCCACCAGCCCCTGTGATTGAAACACTCAACTGGCTCACTCTTTCAAATTCAATGCTGAATCCTTTAATTTACTCTTTTTTCTACAGCTGGTTTCGATCAGCTTTCAGAATGGTCATTTCTGGAAAAATATTCCACTGTGATTTAACTAACTCTAAACTATTTTGATAATTTTCATAGTAAGTGACTGAACAGCACAAAATAAATCGTACAATCTCCAGCACAAGACCATTGACATGAGGATGATTTGTTTTTCCTCAAATTTTGCCATAAAAGTAAAACATGTTTACCCAGTCTTGATTTAAAGTTTGTTGTACTTTCTATCTGTAGAACAGCTCTAACTAAAAATAGAAAATGCTTATAAAAGTTGTAAAACTAAATTTATTCAGGAATTTGCTAAAATCAGGGCTGTATGTTAACTTTTTTTAGCTCATAGCACCGGTGCTACAGAGGTTGCTGATTTTGTAGCACAGAACAAAACGTAGCACCAGCATAAAATGTCTGTTCTAATCTCTAAAACCAAAAGCCAGAATGGTGAATAATATRGTGAGTATTGTTGTAGGACAGGAGTCACCAACCTTTTTGAGACTGAGAGCTACTTCAGGGGAGAAACACAAAGAGCTACATGTTTGATTAAAAACAGATTTATACAGCTCAGATTCAATTATGAGAAATTTACATATATGTGAATATTTAATTACTTTGTTACATCTTAACGTTAATGAGTCCCCATGCTAGTTATTGATAATAATATACTATGATTAAATTAATATTACTGTAAGTGATCAGCAGATTTATCTTAGTCCAGAGTTCTCAATTTAAATCTCTTTTGAAGAACACAAAATCACTAAAAGGATGAACAGCACGGAACATGTTCATTTTCCCCCTGACAGTACAGAAATCATCAACAGAGACCCTCGCTCATCGCGCTCATATGTGATTTCAGAGAACAGGATGGAATTAAAAGAAGTGTGGATAAAAAAAACCTCAGCTGCTCTGATTCAAGCTACTAAAATCTGCAGCAGGAGCTGTAGAATAACTCTTGACCCTTTTATCATGTTGCAGATCAAAATGCATCCAAGAACATCGTTTTAGGGTTTTAAGTTTCAAAATAATCTGACTCTTATTCTGATTGTATCTGCAGTTAGTGTCTGAGTCAATAAAGTTTGTATCTATCTCCTCTGTACGTATAAAGAGTAAAGAAGTTTCATAAAATAGAATAAAATAAAACACCCTTTTGTAACATTTACTCAAAATACACATATTTCTTTGTTCTAATCATACTACCTTTTATAGATACAAAATATCAGTTATGTAATATTAAAACAAGCATAAAAAGACTTCTAATCACTATGAAAATAATGTTTTTCTACATTTTAATTCATCTAAAGGGTTAATGTTCCTGACTGAAGGGGGGGAGTAGGTGTGTGTACTTGTTTGTGCTACCTGGTGGGGACGATTTTTGATTATTTCCCCAGCACACACAGCCTGGTGAGGACCCACTGTTTCTTATGGGGACAAAAGCCCGGTCCACATCATGGAGTAAATAAAGTTTAGACTAGGTTTAGGGTCAGATGGGCTTTAGAAAATCCTGGTAAATGAATGAAATAGATAGATAGAAGAACAACCGTGTGTGTGTGTGTGTGTGTGTGTGTGTGTGTGTGTGTGTGTGTGTGTGTGTGTGTGTG